CAGGCTATAGTAGCTATACTTAATCAGATCAAACAGATTTTCAATAAAAAACTGTAAAAATACAAAAAGAATAACTTTATATATTAATCGGAGGATTAACTCAGCAAGAAGATATAATACATGTGCAAAATACAAGATTACCCACATACATAGATCAAATATTATTAGACCTAAAAGAAGAAATAGACTCCAGTGTTATAATGGTAGGAGATTTCAACATCCCACTGTCATCAATGGGCAAGTCTTCCAGACAGATATTAAGAAAAATACATCAGCACTGAACCATGATATAGAGAAAATGGACTTAACACTTAAAGAACATTTCATTCAACAGCTACAAAATGTACATACTTTCAATCAGAACAAAGACAACTTTCTAGGATATGCCATATATTATGTCACCAGTTGAGTCTCACTAAATTTTTAAAAATTGAAATTATACCATGTATCTTCTCAGACCATAAAGTAATAAAACTGGAAATCAATCGAAAACAAGAATAACAGAAAACTTACAAATACATGGAAATTGAACAACGTGCTCCTAATAGCCAATTGATCATTAAAGAAATTAATACAGAAATTTTAAAATGTATTTAACAAGTAAAAATGTAACTTATCAAAATATGTGTAATGCAGCAAAAACAGAATATATTCAAGGGGATTTAATAGAAATAAATACATATATATAAAAGAAGTATTTCAAATAAACAATCTAATTATGCACCTCCAGAACTTAAAGCAACATGAACAAATCAAACCCAAAATTAGCAGGAGGCAAATGATAATAAGGTTTAAAGCATAAAAAAAAAAAAACTAAAAAAAAATAAAAAGATCAATAAAACAAAATCTGGATCTTTGAAAAGAGAAACAAAATAGAAAAATCGGTAGCCAGACTACCAAAGGAAAATTAGAAGTGAAAAGGCAGACATTAAAATTGATTCCACAGAAGTAAGACAACAGGACTGTACTACTACAGTTTTAATGATTTTGTGACTATTTTAAAATTTATTTTATATGAGTGAAGTTGAACACCATTTCATTTGATTATTATTCATAGCCTTTGCCTATTTTTCTACTAAACTATGGTCTTTTTACTTCTTATTTGTTGAGCTCTTTATTTAATAAGTATTAAGCCATTGACTATAATGTAAATTAAAAATATGCTATCTCAAAATAATACATAAAATATAAAACTGCAAAAAGAAAGTATTGTGTATTAAACAATACAAAAACATCTCAAAGAAAAAAAAATTACCAGATACACACAACCTATCAAGAATCAATCAGGAAGATACAGAAAGTCTAAATAGACAAGTACCAATATTCAGCAGTATTTAAAAGTCTCCAGAGAAAAATCCAGGACCTGATGGCTTTACAACTGAATTCTACAAAACATTTAAATAGAAACATATCCCAATACTTTTCAACCTATTCCAAGATATTGAAAATGTTGGAATTCTGCCAAACTTTTTTTATGAGGCCAGCATTACTCTGATGCCAAAACTAAACAAAGACACAACACAAAAAGAAAACTATAGACCAATATCCTTGATGAACATACATGCAAAAATCCTTAACAAAAGATTATCAAGCAACATCCAACACTTCATCAAAAACATTCTAAATAAGGAACAAGTGGTATTTGTCCCAGAGATGCAAATCAATAATTGCTATAAATCACACCAACAGGGGCCAGCATTGAGGCACAGTAGGCTAAGCCACCATCTGTGATGGTGGAATCCCATATCAGAGGTCTGTGCCAGTCCTAGGTGCTCTGTTTCTGACCCAGTTCCTTGCTAATGTGCCTGAGAAAGCAGTAGATGATGGCCCAAGTACTTGGTCCCCTGCCACCTGCTTAGGAAACTCAGATGGAACCTGGCCCAGTCTTGACTATTGGGACCATTTGGGGAATGAACCAGGAGATGGAAGATTTGTCTCTCCTCTCTTCATTACTCTTTCAAATATATAAAATAAACCTTTTAAAAAAATCACACAACAGAATGAAGAACAATAACCATATGATCCTCTCAACAGTTGTAGACAAAACATTAGATGAGATCAACATTCCTTTAGAATAAAAAAAATAAAACCTCAACGAATTAGATATAGAAGGAGCCCTATAGAAGCTATAAGTTACAAACCTCCAACCAATATCATACTGATTTGGAAAAGCTGAAGGCATTTTCCCTTAGGTCTAGAATAATCAAGAATTTCTACTTTCATCCCTCTAACCCAATATATTATTGGAATTATTAACAAGAGTAATTAAAGAAGAGAAAGAAATAAAATGTACCAAAATTGGAAAGGAGAAAATCAAAATATCCATGTTTGCAGAAGGATGACCTGATTTTGTACATGGAAAAAAACTAAACATTCCACCAAAAAGCAATTAGAACCAATCAGCCAAGTCAGTAAGGTCACGGTATACAAAATCAGCATGCAAAATACAGAAGAATTTTTATAATGATATAATAATGATCTTGCTTAAAGGGAAATCAAGAAATTCCATTCACAACAGCTACAAAACTAAATGTTTATGAATAAATTTAACCAAATAAGTGAAAGATATCCACAATGAAATTACGAAACACTGATGAAAGAAAAGGCAAGGGCATGCACAAAAAAACAAAAGCTATTCTTGTTCATGGATTGGAAGAATTAATGTTAAAATGTCCATATTGCCTAAAGTAATATTTAGATTCAATGCAATATTTATCAAAACATCAATGGCATTTTTAATGCAATTAGAAAAAATACTAAAATTTATATGGAACCACAAAAAGACCCCGTTTAGCCAAAGTGATCCTGAGTCCCCCAAAAAATTATGATTCAGGCATCAAAATAGTTGATTTTAAAACAAACTATAAAGCTACAGTATTTAAAACAGCATAGTGTTGGTATTAAAAAAAATGACCCATGGGTCAATGGAACTGAATAGAGAACCCAGAAATTAATCCACACACATACAGCCAACCGATGTTTGGCAAAGTTGCCAAGAACACACAATGGAGAAAGGACAGTCTTTCCAATTAATCTTTCTTTGAAAACTGGATATATTTATGTAGGAGAATGAAAATAGAACTTTACTTCTCATGATATAAAACAAGTTCACTCAAGATGGATCAAAGATCTAAATATAAGACCTGAAACTATAAAATTGCTGGAAGAAAACATAGGGAAACACTTCAAAACTATGGTGTAGGCACTGCACTATTCATAATAGCTAAGATATGGAATCAACCTAGATGTCCTTTCATTATTAATGGATTGAAAAATGAGGCTTGTAATTATATAAATAAAAAAGTAAAAGAAAATTGTGGTATGAATACACAATCAAATATTACTCATCCATAAAAAATGAATTCCTTTTTTGATGGAACTGTAATTATTATGTTAAATGAAACAAACCAAAGGAAAATAAACACTGTATGTTTTCTCTCATATGTGGAAGGTAAAAATATAAATAAACAGTTGAACTGAACTTAGAATAATGATTACTCGAAGTTGGTAAGAGTCGGGGGAGGGAATAGAAGTAGGTTGGAAATCGGGTTCCAAAACAGTCAGATACAAGTTTCAAGTTCTTGTGTTCAATAACACAGTAGGGTGACTACAGTTCACAATCAATATACATACATATACTTTGTACACAGTACAAAGAACTATGAGGAGCAGGTGTTTGTCGTAGTGGTTAAGACACCACTTAGAACATCCTCATCCCATATTGGAGCACCTGGTTTCAAGTCCAACCTATGCTTTTGATCCAGCTTCCTGCTAAAGTGCAAACTGGGAGGCAGTAAACACTTGGCTCAGGTTCTTTGGACTCTGCTACCCATTTGGCAGATTTGCCCAGCTGTTGTGGGCATTTGGGGAGTGAACCAGCAAATGAAACATCTCCCTCTGCCCCCTTCTCACTGCCTTTCAAATAAAATGAAAAATAAAAAAAAAATTAAAAATCAATAGAGAGAAAGGACAGCTAGGATCCAAAAAAAAAAAAAAAAAACAAAACAAAACAAAAAAAAACAGAGATAAAAAAATTGAAAGGGTAGCTGCAGGGTTTGACTGGTTTACATTATGCAAATATGTGAAAATATTGAACTCTGCCTCAAATAAAATATATAAGTATTGTGTTTTTATTTAGATTTTATTAATATAAATACAGAAATAATGTAGTTCATAAATACATTTCTAAGAATATAATTATACTTTCCTTCTCTCTTTCCCTCTCTCCTCCATTCCTTTCATTTTTAATTTTTGTGATATCATATTTTTAATTGACCTTGTACATAAAGGCTTAATATTCTACTAAATAAAGAGTTCAATCGGTAAGACATACAAAGATCACTGTTCAACAGTAATATAGACAATGGCTATAAAAATAACCAAATCCAAAGATGTCAATTTCATTCATATACATTTAACTTTTTTAAAGCTCTCTCTGTATATTAACTACCATAATTCAGAGAAAATATCTGATATTTGTCTTTTTGGGTCTGGCTAATTTCACTAAACATAAAGAACTCCAGTTACATTTGTTTTGTTGCAAAAGTCAGGATTTCATTTTTTTATTGACTGGGTAGCAATCCATCATGTATATTTAGCATATTTTCTTTTTACAGTCATTATTTAACATCTAGATAGCTTCCATAACTTAGCTATTGTGAATTGAGCTGTTATAAACATGGGAGTACAGGTAACTCTTTCATATGCTAATATAATTTCCTTTGGGTATATTCCCAGGAGGGAGACAGCCAGGTCATATAGAATATCTACTTTTAGTTTCGCAAGGAATCACCAGACTATCTTTTATATGTTCAAAAATTAAAATAAAAATGAAACATAACAAAACTATTTAGGGGAATAAATACAAAAGAATTGAAATCAGGATCTTGAAGAGATATCCGTATTCCCGTGTTCACTACAGCCTTATTCACAATAGCCAAAATATGAAAACGACCTAAATATCCACTGACAGATGAAAGGATAATGAAAATGTGGTATGTGTGCTCACTTTGGCAGCACATATACTAAAATTGGAATGATACAGAGATTAGCATGGCCCCTGTGCAAGGATGACATGCAAATTCATGAGGTGTTCCATAATTTTTTTTCTTCATACTATTTGTTGAACTCCGTACTTAGCGTAGGGTTAATCTTGTAAGTATAAAACAAGCTGAAAATAGAGCTCTGTAAAAATTAAGAGTGGGAACAGGAGAGGGAGGAGGCAGAAGGGTGAGAGCATGGGCGGGAATCGGGGTATGGTGGGAAGTATCACTCTGTTCCTGAATCTGAATATATAAAATAAAAATTGTGTACCTTAAATAAAATTTTTAAACTATGATATGTACATATAATAGAATATTATTCAATCTTTTGAAAAAAGGAAATTCTGCTATATGCCACAACACAAATGAACTTCAAGGACATTATGATAAGTAAAATAAACTAGTCACACAACTTGACTTAAATGAGGTATCTAAAATAGTCAAACTTATAGAAACAAGGAGTAAAATGGTGGTTGCCAGGACCTGATAAGGGAGTAAGGGGGTTGAAAGTCAACAGCTGAATAAGTTCTCTAGAATAGCTGTACAACATTCTACCTCTAGTTAAATGGGCAGTAATTGCTTCTGTATGCCTACTTTGTAAACTTCCTGAATACTAGCTTATCTTTCAGGTCCTCATAACTTTTGGTTGTATCTCAGATATTTGAGGTACAAAATTTATTAAAATAAAGCTATACTCTGTTTTCTCTGTTTAAAAAATATATGCTAGGCACAGTATCACAGAAAATTAAAGATTAAAGTTTGGAACACCACATCCCATTTCAGAGTACCTGGAATCAAGTCCTGCCTCTACTTCTTTTTTTTTTTTTAAGATTTTATTTATTTATTTGAGAGGTAGAGTTACAGACAGTGAGAGGGAGAGACAGAGAGAAAGGTCTTCCTTCAGTTGGTTCACTCCCCAAATGGCCGCAACAGATCCAGGAGCCAGGTGCTTCCTCCCGGTCTCCCACACAGGTACAGGGGCCCAAGCACTTGGGCTATCTTCTACTGCTTTCCCAGGCTGTAGCAGAGAGCTGGATTGGAAGAGGAGCAGCTGCGACTAGAACCAGCACCCATATGGGGTGCTGGCGCCACAGGTGGAGGATTAACCTACTGCAATATAGCAATAGCCCCCTTGCCTCTACTTCAGATTCAGCTTGCTGCAAATGTGCACCAGGAAAAGCAGCAAATGATGACTCAAATACTCGGGTCCATACCACCCACCAGAGAGAACAAGCTGCAGTTCCTGGCTCCTGGTTTCAGTCCCAACAGTTGGGACCATTTGGAGAGCAAACAAGCAGAAAGAAGCTAGGGCTCTCCCGTGCACATGCGCTCCCTCTCCCTCCCTCCTTCCCTCCATCCCTCCCTCCCTCCCTCTTTCTCTCTCTTTATCTCTCTCTCCCCCAAACTCCCTTCCTTTCTCCCTTTCTGTGTTGTTCTTTCAAATAAATAGAAATAACTAAACTTGAAAAATAAAAAATATATGCTGTTGTATGTTCTGAAAAGGCTAGCTAGTCTCCCTTCACTAATTCCTTGAGATCCTTATATTCAGAAGTTTTCATTTTAAAGAAAAGAAACTTGCATGATGCTCTTGAAAAACATGGATCATTCAATATCCCATAGTAGAAACTTTCAGAATAATATATCCTAGGAGTTTGCAAAATGGTTGAAAATCTCATCTGACCCTATTGTCAATTGTAGTTCATTGCACACCATGAATATCTAAGGGTTGGGAACATTTACCCCCCTCAAATGTAAACATATACATGCCATTATCACAGGAAGATTGGATAAATGAAGGCTTCCTGGGCTTTGCTTGAGAATGATGCTTTAAGTAATTAAATTAAAAGGAATCTAAATTATCCTTTGCCATAAAATGGACATCATGAAGCCTATTAAAAATTGACCAAAAAGTTTGAAACCAACCTCAAAATATCAACATGAGTTTTCTAACCATAAGAATGCATTTTATAGAGAAGTTACATTATTACTCCAGTAGACATTATTTTTGCTTCACTACACATAGCACATCTGGGAATTGTCTTCCTGAAAGGTTTGGCTAGAAGCTCTATTTGATGGCCTCAAATTGATTGTGATATTGGAAAGTCAAGGAAGTTAGTGCATATCACATACCAAACTTCTTGGCCTAACTGTGTAAGACACCTAATTTTCCTATGGGAAGAAACCAAAAAAGTTGGGTCCAGTACTCCACACTGATTTTTCCTTGTGAGATAAAAGCATTTCCCTTTAGTATACTGCTTCTCAGAGACTTCAAGAGCCTTTGCTTCCACCTGAAGCCTCTGCAATGACAGTGTGACTCCATGCCTGTTTCTTGCAGCATATAAACTGTCAGACACAATTATTTCTGACAACAGGTCCACATTTGTCTCAGTCAAGTTATGGTATCTGTAGACAGGGATCTTATCCAAGCTGTCACCATTGCACCTCCTCTGTTTTAAAGAAGTGTTTAGGATAAAAGGATGGTGCAGACCACCTAAGACTTTATGAAATAGATTTTTAAACATACTGACCAATAATTCTTGCCTCGTTTTTCACTGTCCAAAAGATTATTGTTATTCACTAAGAGGTGCTAGCTAGGTCAAGTTTCATAACTTGTCTCAACCTTCACTGTTAAGAATAACCTTGATAATTTATAAAAATTAACAATATTATACTAACTGTGCTATGGTTTGATATATTAATCATCCATTTTTAATTATTTAATTTCTTATCACAATAATTTTTCTTCCCAAGGACTTAATTCAGTTCTTGCTCTTGCAAGTTGAGTCTGGATAGGATAGTGCCATTTCTGAGAAGTCACAAAATATCATATGATTTTTTTATGATAACAATCATTGTCAATACTGTAATAAATATATTATTTGTATGCCATACTAGATTGTAAACACCATGAGTGTAGGAATGTGTCTTTTTTTCCTTAGTTCTACCTCTGACACCTAAAGTGGAATTGGTAGCAATTAGACACACAAAGGTCAAATTATCGACATCCTTTAGTTGAGACTTATTTAAGCTGGATTCCAAAGCCAGCCCCTCCTTGACACTGTACTCTTGATAATTTCTTTAAGGCTGCAGATATTCCATTGAGATCCCCAATAAAAGCCCACTTAAGTCAAGAGGCCACTTCCAATAATAACACGATTAAGAAAGAGGGGGAGGTAAAAGCCCCAAACAAGGAGTCTGTACCCAAATTGCCCAAGCACATTTTAACACCCCATAAGAGTTGTTTCTCTGTGAATACAAGGTCATTGTTTTCAGAGACAAATTAAAGTGCCCTCATAGTAAAATTTTCAGGTAGAAAGGGTATGAAGGAACAATAAAAATCCACCTGCAACACTTCTTAATAGAGACTGCAAATAGTAAAAGAAAAAAAGAAACCAACCATTATTCTAGCTAACTGATCTAAATTTTGAACATTCTTTACACTAAGTATTTATTTTTTCTTTATACTTGACTATACCTTGGACAGTATAAACTTTTGAATCAACTAGAGATTATGATAAAACCTTTGGAAGCATCTCTTTCTGAATCACCTTGATGTTTTCCATTCAACAACACATACTGAGTATGTATTATCTGTAAGAACAGACATTTAGGAGCAAGTGCTTGGCATGGTAGTTAAGTTGCCACTTGGGATGCCCACATCCCATATCAAAGTGCTTGATTCTAAGTCAACTGCAAAATAATCTCACCTGCCCCTACTCCCCAAGTCAAAAACCACTATCACAAGTTTGATACACGGTTGTCCTGCTTAACTATTATGAATATCTCACTGTGATTCATCCACATGACACACATGGGTGTTTGGATTTTGTTCACTTTGTTGGAAAAATACAAACAGTGTTGGAAAGGGAACCATAGCTTCATTCCAGTGCTCTACCACTTCATTGTTCGCCATTTGCATCACCTCTTTTGTGTTTACCTCTGTTTTGCCTCTGAGGTCTAGCTTATTTTTCATGTTTTTTGCTTCCTGTGGAGTGGGCTTGACAGGATAGCTTCAATGCCCACAATGCTACAGCATGGCTTTCTTTCAGCATCACTGCTAATCAGCTCATTCTTTCGATACTTTTCTATTCAAAATTCTTGCAAGAAAAATTCTGATTTTTCTTCGCACCAAGTCATCTCTTATCTGGACAATGACTTGATTATTCTTGGAAAAAGGTAATTACCCTGAGTATACTCAGATGAGGTAGAGGATACAGGACAATGGTGAAGGGTCATGTTTTGTAAGATTTGGCTGGTGATTTAGGCAGGGCCACTTATGAATAATGGATACAACCTGGTACCAACATTCTTTACTGTCCAGCCCAAAGATACCCTTTTGTTATTTTACTAATTCACTCTCCAGTATGCTGTGCAACCTACAATACAATTACACCAAATTATTTATCATTCCCTCAACAAGCCATATCCTATGAGGATTTATTCCAATGTTTACACTTTTCTCTTACTAGGACAGCGTTCCCCCAGTTTCCATCTGGTAGAATCTTCTAAAATGCATATCTCGGGGCAATCATTTGGCATAGTGATTAAGTTGCACCTTGAGGTACTTATATCTCATATAGAAGGGCTGCGGTTCCAGTCACAGATCTAGTCTGCATTCCAGCTTCCTGGTAATGCCCCCCAGGGGAGGCAACACATGATGGCTCATGTACTTGAGTCCTTCCTACCCATACGTAAAAACCCTGTTTGAGTTCTCATACCTTTGCTCCAGCCTAGCTGTTGCAGGTATTTGGCAAGTAAAACCACGGATGGGAGACAGCTCTCTGTTTCCCCCTCTCCCTCTCTCCCTATTTCTGCCTTTCAAATAAATAGAATAAACACATTATAATTGTAGAAGTAAGTATCTCCCATCTAAGTACTGACCAGGTCTGACCCTACTTAGCTCCTGAGATCAGATGAGATTGGTCACAATCATGGTGGTATGGCCGTAGACAGAAATGTGTAACTCAAACATTACATTCTCCATAAAATCTTCCTTAGGGGCATATCGTGTCTTCCTCACAATCACTTTTGGGTTATATTCATATGTACATGCCATATAAAT